GAACCCAGAGCCTCAGGCATGCACGGCAAGTGCTCTACCACTGAGCCAACTTTCTAGCCCCTGTTCTGATTTTTTGCCATTAAAAAAACTGTATTTGCTGGGTGCTAGAGGCTCATGCTTATAATCCTCGTTACTCAGGAAGCTGAGGTCTGAGGATCTAGACTTAAGGCCAGCCCACACAGAAAAGTTCTAGAAAATCTAGAAAAAAATCTAGAAAATCTAGAAATCTCCACTCACCAGCAAAAGGCCAGAGGTGGAGGTGTAGCTCAAGTGGTAGAATGGTATCCTTGAGTGAGAAAGCTGCAAGCAAGAGCTTGAGGCCCTGAGTGCAAAGTCTAGTCCACTGCTGGTATATGTGCATGTGTTCTCACACACACACATACACACACACACACAGAGCCATACTCACAAAATGGTGGTATATGTGCATGTGTTCACACACACACACAGAGCCATACTCACAAAATGGTGGTATATGTGCATGTGTTCACACACACACACACACACACACACACACACACACACACATACACAGAGCCATACTCACAAAATGTTTTTTTTATTGTGTGCTGAAGACCTTTTCCTTTTATTTTGGTCAGTTGTGGGGCATGAACTCTGGGCCTGGGCGCTGTCCCTGAGCTCTTCAGCTCAAGGCTAGTGCTCTACCAATTGAACCACAGTGCTACTTCTGTTTTTTTGGTGGTTAATTGGAGATAAGAGTCTCATGGACTTTCCTGCCTGGGCTGGCTTTGAACTGTGATCCTTAGATCTTAGCCTCCTTGGTAGCTAGGATTATAGGTGTGAGCCACCAGTGCTTTTTAAAAAGTATTGTAGATATAAATGCTTTATTAACATATCCTTGGCAAATATTTTGTTCCAGTGTTTGGCTTGTTCATTTACTTAGATTTTTTTAATTTTAGAAAATATTTTGTTAGTTTCTAAAATCTACAGTTCTAAAACCTATAATTTTTTTACTCAAGAGCTAGTTCTAGATAAATTTTGTCTTTTTCTCCTAATACCATTAGGCCTGCCTGCCTGCCTGCTTGCTTGCTTGCTTTCTCTCTTTCTCTTTCTTTTTCTTTCTTCCCTCCCTCCCTCCTTCCCTCCCTCCCTCCCTCTCTCTCTTTTTCCCTCCCTCCCTTCCTCCCTCCCTTCCTTCCTTCCTTCCTTCTTTCTTCCCTCCCTCCCTCCTTCCCTCCCTCCCTCCCTCTCTCTCTTTTTCCCTCCCTCCCTTCCTCCCTCCCTTCCTTCCTTCCTTCCTTCTCCCTTC